ATAAAATTGCGGGACGGTCCTTCGCACCTGGGCACGGCGGCAAGTCGCTTAGCTCGCTACTGTCAGCAGCAACAACGTGTTTGGCTGGCTATATCATGCTCTACACCTCACAAGAGTATTGGCATGTTGACTTGGACTGCGCTAGGGTAAGACCGCGGCCGACAACGTATCTGACGTCTCGCAAAGGCGATGTTTGTCATCCCAATGAGAAGCGTGCGACATCGCATACAAAGTGGCGACGCTGTGGTGCGGCGTTCGAATCTGTCTGGTCAATTTCGGAAATGTCGAAAGCCTCTAGTACAATCCCGGCGTATGGCAAGAACGTCAATGGGGAGGACTTGCTGAGATGGTTGAAGGACTTGAAAGTTGGAGACAGGAAATGAGCTCTGATCAGCGTCAGGCTCTCCTTGGTATCTCATTTAATGCGTCAGCTTCGAATATGGAAGAACTATGATCACCTCTGGGGCGGTCGGGGTAGTTCTTTGGTAGGAAGATGTAGTGGAGGCATGTCTGAGTGTCGTTAAATGCAAGGGCGTTGGATGCAAGACTGAAGCCGTACGTAGGATAGCACGTACAAGACCATGACAGGAGTCAAAATCAAGTTTTTGTATATCGTCATGGGTCTTGAAGATTACTGCATTGAGTGATGGTAGTAACAGAAAGTCGTGGTGAAAAGTGACGGGATCTCAAAAAGCATACGCTGCACGTGATTAGCCCTAAAGTGGAAAGGCTCGTTGATAAGTGGGGCATCTGCTGTGGGAGGGGCCTAGGCCCAAGCTGCAGCCGCTCCCGCCAGCTCTCCAGGCGTTCAGGTACTCTCTCACGGCGCTCCCTCCATGTTAGTAACACCCGCCACACGAGCATTTCAACCACTCCGATCACTCATGACGAGCGCATATTATCTCGCAAGACCTTTGTCCTCCCGATCACGAAGCGCGTCACCCAAAATGGCCGACACACTATCCCTCGACGAGATACCCACCCTCACCTTGCTCTACAAGCTAAAGAAGATCGTGCCAAGCGACGACAAGGTCCAGTCCACATACACCGCGTCCGCTACCCTCAACGACAAGATCAGTGTCATTCGACAAGACATCACAACGCTAGCTATTGACGCCATCGTCAACGCCGCGAACACTTCCCTTCTAGGTGGTGGAGGCGTGGATGGTGCGATCCATCGCGCAGCTGGGCCCGGCTTGTTAGAAGAGTGCGAGACGCTGGACGGTTGCCAGACAGGCAGTGCCAAGATCACAGATGGCTACGAACTGCCTAGCAAGAAGGTCATTCACGCCGTTGGGCCGATATACTGGAAGGAGGGCTCGCGCTCAGCAGAACTATTATCAGGCTGCTACCGTACAAGCCTGGAGCTAGCAGTCGACAACGGCTGCAAGAGCATTGCATTCTCAGCGCTGAGCACTGGCGTCTACGGCTACCCCAGCGGCGAGGCTAGCACAGTCGCACTCGAGACGGTGCGCAAGTTCCTCGAAGAAGAGGGCAAGGCGGACAAGCTTGACCGCGTCGTTTTCTGCAATTTCCTCCAGAAAGACGAGGACGCCTACTTCAAGAACATCCCGTAAGTCTCAGCTGTCATCAGTGTCAATTCATACACTAACGACTACTTAGTGACTACTTCCCACCAGTCGACTCCGACCCCAAGGCGCAAGAGGAACAGTCCACTGAACCCTCCGACCTCGCATCGCAACTCCCAGACGCCCCAACAGCCGACCCTAAAGATACCGACGATGCTCGACAGCCATCTCCGAAGAAGCAGAAGACCACCGACACCGACGATGACTTTGTCGTGGTCGAGAAAGATGACATCAATGAGGACAAGGCGAAGCCTGAGCTATGAGATCATCACAAAATAATTCGATAATGACGGCGAAGGTTATGGGTGTTTTTATCGGCTTATGTCAGTACACGTTGCGATTTGGGCATACTGGGCGTTCGGTCGTTGGGCATGGGAGGCTTATACCCTGGATACGAGTCATGAACGACCCACATTGATTCTCATCAATTGAATGACATACACGCACAGTCGTGTCTTGTTCTTAGAAATCCGCGCTGTCCCTTGATCTATTCGCAGACTAACTTCTCACGATACCATTCACTGACAGATTTGTTCAGAGTATTTCCGCTGTGTGTGCTTGCACAGGGTGATGCTCAGTCACTTCACCAAAAGATACAGATTGCAGCCGAAGCCAGTCAAGACTATTTCCATCAACATTTCGCCTCTACTATAACTCGCACTACGACCGACCTTTCGCAGGAACAATCACTACAACCATCAGCCACCATAAGATTCCCTCCAAACCATGCCGCACTTCCTCCAGCCGCTCATCGCCGTTCCATTGATCCCGGATTACAAATACAACATAGCTTCCGTTGAAGAAGACGATGTATGCTACATCTGCCGCGAGCCATTCTCTATCGACGACTGCTTACCCCTCCAGATCACAGCATGTGGCCACATCGTGGGAGACAAGTGCTTGTTTGAGTGGATGAAACGGCAGCCCGGTTTATGCCCCTACTGGAACCATCTTCTCCCCCATCGCCCTGCCCATGAGAGCTCCATGATTCGCACTGTGGTCGGTTCGCGTGTTGGCTCGGTGTGGTTCCACGTCTTCGAACGCTACATCTTAGATCTACCGTGTCTTTCTATTCGCAAGGAGATCCAATGTGTTATAAGTCATCCGGATTGGTATATCAATGGCAGCGTCCAGAATTCCCATATCATTTTGCTGGCAATGCGGAATGTTGTCGCTACCTGGAACATTGGACTTGTGGTGTTGCTTTTCCGGCGCTTAACTCGCGATAAGCAGTTTGGTCGAGACCCTGTATCGTTAGTGGGGAAGATTCTGGTATTGGCCATCACTTTGGTCAACATCTTGACTTTGCCGACTTTGGTAGCTACAATTGTTGACTGGTTTAAGAGGCGATCTAGAGCTAGGGCGGCAAGCACTCGACTGCGACGATGGTAAGGTTGGGGCCGAAACTCAAAGCCAGCGTATTTCTCAATTTCTTTGATCCGGTGCTGTCGAGCCAGTGTTAGATGAACAGTTCTAAATTGAGATCTTTAAACAGTTGTCCAAAGTGCTAGAAAGATCTCCTGATCATTCACTATGCTTTGTTGTACCACGCTAACCATAAGATGCATATCTATGTAAGTGCACTCAACGAGCAAAGCGTCACTTCCGACTCTCGATTACTAAACTTCCCGATACCAGACTCTGCGCGTCGACGTGAAGTCCTGCTCCATCTCGCCAACTGGCCAATGCGTATCCTAGGGAGGAATATTGTTTTGATAAACCGGAGAAGGTCGGCGTGGGCTATATGTCCTGTTCTCGGGCGATTCAGCTAGACGCGGCGCATCGACGATGCCACAACCTTGAGTCGGTGTCGGCATAAAACTGTCCTTACTCCGCGCATGATTGCTGGTAATTGCTGTGCGTAGCGTGCTAGGGGTCAGCGCCTGCGAATCACGTTGGACATCGGCGTCGGCTTCGAGATCCGTTCCATCCTTTTCAGATGGCGCGAGACCACGCCTGTGGAAGCACTGCCGCACAGTGGTGAAAATTCATATGAGGATGGGTATGCCGACTAGAGCGCCAATGACGCACCCAGCGATTATACCGTTTGTCTTGGCGTCGTTGGGGTCAGGGCGATGGGTTTCATCATATGAGTACGTCGGTGTGGATGCAGGCACGGTAGCTTCGACGTACGGATATGATGGAGATGGTGTCCAAGGTGGGACCGTTGGTACGGGTGCGATGGCTGGATCGGACCAGGCAGGTTGTGTCCACGCAGGTTCGGTCCATGCTGGCGCGGTGGGTGTCCACTCCCACTGGCGCGCCTGAAGGTCGTTATCGCTATTTGATGCGGATGCTGTACCCGTGATTATGGATGCTGCCATTACCGTAACTTTTGTTGTCTCCGTAATGGACAGAGAAGGGCGAACCGGCGCTGCGGAGACGATCGATACGGTCATAAGAGCGAAAGTGAGAAAGGGTAACAACATACCTGTTGCAGATGCAAACAAATAGAAGGTGTATCTACAGCTACTACCGAGATGCTCACTACTGTGACGTTCGATCCAGCGAACTGTGAAGATTCTGATCGTATGTTTGCTGTCCTGCGTGACCGTTACCCTGTGGTCCGCCGAATGCAATGGTTACTTCGCGCCTTGAAGGATCTGCTCCTGGGCTGCGCTTGAATATTTTCAGTTAGTACGGTGATGGTGTTGTCAGTATATAGGGCGCGTTGTGAGATGACATTGCTGAGGTTGTCGCTGGCAGTGATACGTAGATAGTTGATGGCATGTCGTGGCGCTGGCGATTCATCATCGATGCAATATACGCTTCGACAAGATAAGGTACAGCGCTAATGCACGTACTTCTCGTATAGTAGATATTTAGTAGTGATATCCGGATTCGTGTCACGCCGAAGCCGTGTCGATGGGTACACGCGCCACATGCTCGCCCTTGCAGAGCTCCACATAACAGATCTGCGATAACCACGCCGAGACTACAAGCTTGAGTGTATGTCTTCGGGGCAAGAAAAAACTTTGCTCATGTCATCCGAACGTATTTGACCGGTCCAACGTACGCGTGTCTGCCACGAAGGACGTAGTACAGTACAGCAAAGAGAACGACGATCCCATATCCCAATACTGCCCAGTTCATATCTGTAATTGTTGGCCGAGGCCCAACTGGGAAGAAACAGAAGATCCAAGCAAACAGCAGGAACAGTACAGCGATGATGTTGATCGGTAATCCAAGTCGTCCCAGGTCGAACTTGGACGGCAGAAGCGGTTCACCTTTTATGCGCTTCAGGGCAACGCACGAGATCGTGATCAGGTACGAGGTCAGCATCGAAGCTACACCAAGCGAAATGACCTGCATGAATGCGACGGTGGAGCCGAGGTTGATACACGACAAAATTACGACAAAGACCACCGTTATGTAGGTCGAATTGATCGGTACTTGGCGCTTCGTTGATACCTACTCGCCGTCAGTTCTCGGTTGAAGTGATAGCCATGGCGAAGTAGGCTTTTGACGAACCTTGCTGAAGACATGCGCAAATGGGACGCCATTATCACGCGCGAAGGCAAATACCTGGCGTGAACTTGTTGCCATGATAGCAACGCAAGCGAAAATCGCAACGACCAACATCAAAACCGTCAGCGCAGTCGCGCCGCCTACGGACTTGGTCGTGTCGACGAAAACTTGAATGAAAGGCGTGCCAAGTGGGGTCGTAAGTACAGAGACTGTGTCGGTGACGCAGAAGCAGAAGGTGATTGCCATGATCCAGCCGAGCAGCCCGTTCCCGAGCCACGTCCACATCATAGCGCGCGGAATCACATGGGCAGCATCGCGTACCTCCTCCGCCATGTGTGCTCCCGCTTCAACGCCAACGAAGGAGCTGGTAGCGCTCGTGAGGCCAAGAATGACCGCGAGCGGAATATTCCCCCACATCATATTGTCCTCAAAGACCGTGAAGACGTCGCTGGAAGAGTGGCTTCTATCGCTCATGACCCAGAGTGGAATTACGACAGCGAAGAATCCAGCAACGTGCAGTATGACGACGCCTCCTTCTATCAATGGTAGATGGCGAGAGAGGTATGTGTTGAACACCAAGCAAATGGCCAGGACAGCCCAGATGAGGAGCGTTCCGTGCCACGCCTTCGGAATGTACGACGGATTGTTCAAGATGATGAGGCCCTGGATCTGTTTGCCGGAAAGATACGAAACGGTTGCTGCACCGGTCTGCCAGCCCAGAACCCCGAGCCAACCTACCAGATAGCTGAGAAACTTCTGGCAGCTTGGTGGTGCGAACTCTGATACCCAGTGGTACTGTGCGCCAGCCGTTGGTGCCCTACTAGAAGTGAGTAAGTATCATTGGAGGTGATCAAGCTATACGCACATCGATGCCATTTCAGCCAGCGAAGCAACAACGAAGCCGAACCCAATCATGACGATGAAGTATCCCCAGATAAGCCCTGCTGTTCCTCCATTGGCAAGAGCAAAGACGGATGTGGCAAGGATAGTCTCCCAAGTCGAAAGAAGAACTATGCAGAATCCTAGAATGGTGATAGAACGGAAGTTCCGCCGGGTTTCCTGCGTCTTTCCCATGCGATGCATGTCATGAGCGTCCGCTGTGGTCGCATCCTTCTCAGCCACGTTGTGATCCATGCTATGGTCGTTGAATATATCTTGAGGTTCTCCGATGTGTGCTTCTGCAAATTTGCTCGACATCATCACGCTGGAGGATCTTTGAAGGGAGTAGAACACAGAGGGAAGTAGCAAGTCCCCATCTCGTGCGTAGACAAAGATGTTCTTATGCCTGAGAGGTGATGCAGTTGTATCCTAGTCGACTTACGCCCTGCATATGTATATGGTAGCTCAATGAAGTCAATACCTGCGCCTCGCTGTAAAGACGACTTCGCGTACCGATGCTGCAGTATTGATTAAGCAGCTTGCGACCCAGCGCTCGTCATTGGCAGACGGCTGGGCGTACAGCGAGCAGCGATAAGTTTTGTCTTACGGTGAATATCGCACTGCCGAAAGCATATGGATGATGCCGTTTGTGCTGACAGGTAGATATAGCCAGGCCTTACGATGCAGGCAATCTGCCATCAGAGAGATCATTGGTAGGTAATATGCTGTGATCTGGCTATCTGCAACCGTGTCGCACATGTGGAAATCTAGACATTCATACTCATCGGTCAGAAACTCAAAGACCTGCAGCGAGACAATGTCCGAAAGTCATGATAGCAGTGGAGGCTATCTGTGCTGTGTGAGAGCGTGCTGAGCTCTGGAGAGATGATTAGAAGGCAGGTGCCCCTGCGCCAACCAAGAAAGGCTAGCTCGTGACGCGTTCTTAGCGTCTTCGGGGTCCAAATGTCTCCAGGGTCTTCGGCATCTTCAATCGCGTCGCTTTCGCGCAGCAGCTGGAAACCTTCTCATTCCACAACAAATCGACGACGAATTGGATGCCTTCTTCTGAATCGCGAAATCATGCTCGACCTGCCTCACTCGCATGTCTAGAGTGTCGGCGTACCCACCTCAAGTGCGACGGAACCCAACCTATATGTGGGCGGTGCCAGACTCGTGGTTTTGCATGCACCTACAAGCGTTCTGGACGAGGTCGCCGACGTGGCATAACGCGCGCAGACACTGATGAGCAGCCGACACTGTCTCACACCGTACCCGCTTCCTCTGGCCCGGTTGCGCACCCCGCTGGTGCACAAGCGCTCTCCCGTGCGCCCTCTGCAGCGGAATGGCTCTCCCTCGACGATGCAGCCGCTCCACCTAATCCGGCCCTTCTGCAACGTAGAATGTCAACTACTTCGCCAGACCAGTGCGCCGAGTGGGCTGACGATGAGCAACTGGTGAATCTTTACTATCTAAACTTCCACGCGAGTCACCCAATCCTTCTACCAAGGGACATGTATTGGCAACAAGGATACCCTCGTTATCTGAAAGCGGTAGTTCATCTCATCGGTGGTCGCTATTCACATGCTGTCTCGCTCGACGAATTGCGCGCGAACGTGGCACGAGAGTTTGCTCAAAGCGAAGGAAACACAGCCGAGATGGTACAAGCAGGACTCCTCAACACCATCGCCCTGTTCGCGGAGAACGCTACGGATCAAGGGCAGAAGATGCTTGATTCCACGATCGAACTAGCTTTACGACTCGGCATGCACCAGCGGAGCTTTGCTTCAACGCATGCTGGTGATCTGACTGTGCTGGAAGAAAGCATGCGGAGAACTTGGTACGAATTGTACGTGATTGACGGCTGCATCGCGGCATTGCAGCGAAGATCGACATTCAAAACCAACACAGTAAACGCCGACGTGCTTTTACCATGCGACGACTTTACTTACGAAGCCGGAATGTGCTTTATGCCAGCAACTATGGCCGAATTCCACGGCAACGTCTTTGCCGAAGAGGAAAAGGTATTTTCGTCCTTCTGCTACCGCATAGAAGCCGTACGTCTTCTCGGACGAGTTTTGACTATAACTGGAAAACATGGGGTGGATCGAGATCTGGTGCAGGCCGTTGATAATGCGCTTGCTGCATTTCTATACCACTTACCACGCTCCAAAAGCGAAGCGGAGATCTCAAACACCTTCGGTGATCTGGACGAACTCATGTTCCAAGCGCATACTATCATCCAATGGAGCACCATTCTCGTGCATTATCCCAGAGGCGATCTGATATCTTCTGACCTATTAACACAAGACGTACTTGGAGCCAACTGTACCAAGCTCCTTTGTCCCTGCAATCGACAGCATATCCACTCCGTCAAAGCCATCGAAGCCTCCAAGACCCTAGCTATGTTAGCGGCGCTGCGTACTCCCACTCAAAAGCACACACCACTCTTTGTGTATCCACTGGCTCTTGCTGCTGTCGTTCAGCTTTCCATCGGCGCAATGCACGACAAAAGCCCTCGGCGTTGCTTGGACCAGCACGCTGACCGAGTGAAGCTGTTACTTGGGGTACTCAAATCTATGAGCCGCCAATGGTCGGCTGCTGGAATCGTGTTACGCACCTTGAAAAGGGTAGCATCTGCAGTATTCCGTAGTTCCTCCGTCGATTCACCGTCAAGTATAGTGGCTCCTCCGGCCACATCAATCGACAACGATGCTTTCCCCGACTTCGATCTCCAGGATTTGTACGGACTTGTGGGCCTTGATAACAATACGTTAGGTATATGATAAGCCCGATATAGCCTTCAAGGTCTACTTCAACCATTCGGTCAAAAATGCAAGGATGCAACAATCGTTTCACCTGCGCGAGCCGCATTGGAAAAAGCGTTGTGCTGTGTACATACTATCTAGTACCGTCCCCGCCGAGATGACGCTTGGGTCCGCCTAGAGATGCTCATCGCCGCTCAGTCCCCGTCTCCCATGACCCTTCCTTCATCTTGATTGGAAGATGCATCAAAAGCTCACCACTTTGTGTCGGTAACGGGAGTCTACCGGCGCGTATGTTTATCTGCAAGGACGGATGCAGCAGCTTTGGCGCGTTCAGACTCGCATCACGTTCTTCTCGCAGGATTCGAAAATCGTCCTCCGCATGGTTCGCGAGATGTCTGTTCTTCTCCTTGTGATCCCGTACAGTCATCCAAGGCACGGCTTCGCATCGTAGCGGACACGCTGGATAGTCATGTCCTGTCCAAATCTTGGTTTCGTCTGGTAGTTTCAGTAGCTTTTGTGCTGAAGCATACAAACTCTTTGCACTCCCGCCTGGAAAATCACATCGTGCAGTGCCGATGTCAGCATGAAAGATTGAGTCGCCGCAGAACACGTTGCCTTATAAAGTGTTAGTGTTGAGCACAGATACAGATCGCTATAGCGAGCACTTACTGCCGACCTGGTAACCGATATGATCTGGGGTATGACCTGGAAGATGAAGGACCTTCACCCTCAAATTCCCAACCTCGAGGATCTCATCATCTTCGAAAAGATGATCGAACGCATTTTCGTACTCAACAGCTGGAATACCATACCTCACAGCAAATCGTTTCTGGACCTCGCGAATTCGTTTTCCGATGCAAATGGGTGGTTTGAAACCCTGCTGCGATGAGAGACGCTGCTGGAGGTAAGAAGCTGCTGTCAGGTGATCGGCATGAGCGTGCGTCTCCAGTATTCTTTCGATGTAGTACCCTCCTTCGAAGACCGTGGCCAATAAATCATCAGCTGTCTGAGTATTGATTGTCTGAGTAGCTGTGTCATAGTCGAGCACCGGATCGATGATGACGGCTTTCTTGGACGATGGGTCTACTACCACGTATTGCCATGTCCCTGTCTTCTCTTCAAACAAGCTGTGGATTGCGGGCTCGTGGGACCTTATGGTGTGAGTGCTGTAACTTGATCGGTTTCGGGCTTTCCGCGGGATCTGTAAAGTTGGATTGGTCAGGTTGGTGACGATGCGGCCTGTCCAGCTCGCATACTTCGGTGGATGTGGCAAGCTGACTGTTCCTCGTGCGATGCATTGAGGTATCGTAGGAGTCATTTGAGCCATCGATCGTTGCTGTTGCCTCCAAATGCGGACCTTGGGGGTGTGGTGAGACGAGTTTGGCAATCGCCAAAGCGCCTGGATGCGTCCATATGAGCGTAAATTCTCCATGTCCTAGGATGGGACAGTCAATATCATCCGTTTATCAGCAGTCACTTGTTCATTACATCCTCCGCTTCGTCTTAAGTATTCATCAATCTCGGGAAGCTGACTGCCCAGGTGGTGCCACCTCCATGCAGGGTTCGGCGTCTATCCCTCTTGATCCCCGACATGAGACGCTTTTGATCGCCGACACGACAATAGCCTTTGGGATGACCAATCTACTCCCTTACTATTTCCGAGGCTCTTTAATAGTCGTTGCGTTCACCGTTCACAACCCGCAAAACCGCAAAACCACAAGGAATAACATTACGACAGGCCTACAGTTGTTCGAGCGGAAACAGCAATCATCATATTACCTCTTCAATTCACCGTTATCCGATACCTCCACACCACCGTCAGCAGCTAAAAGAATAGCCATCTGCTTGGCCGGAATGTATTCATCGTGCCATCGCTTCACATCGACGTCCCTCCGGACTGCACTCACCACACGAGGTCGGCCAGCTGGGCGAGGCCTCGCGACAGTCTCACCTGCGACCAGTACATCAAGACATCACAAGGTTGTTGTTATTGGAAACGGTTCAGCTGGTGTCGCAGTCAGCCATCAACTGTTACGAAAAGGACGCTTCAAAAAGGACGATATTGCGGTTGTCGATCCGAGCACTTGGCATCATTACCAACCGGGCTGGACATTGGTGAGCGGCGGCTTGAGCAACAAACTACACTTCAAAAGGCCGATGAGCGAACTTGTCGCATCTGAGACAACGTTCTACAAAGACCATGTGGTGGCCATTCACCCGCAAGACAACTATTTGTCCTTGGGAGGCGATGACAAACTTCGATACGACCACCTCGTCATCGCTCCAGGCATCAAAGTTGATTACAACAGCGTCAAAGGCCTTCGCGAAGCTATGCGAAATCCTGATAGCGTCGTAGCATCCATATACAGCTACGACCATTGCGACAAAGTCTTTCAAAACATTCAGCGCCTCAAAAAGGGTTCGGTCATCTTCACCCAGCCTTCCGGTGTAGTGAAATGCGCAGGTGCACCTCAAAAGATCATGTGGCTCGCAATGGATCACTGGAGACGAGTAGGCCTCTACAGCAACGATTCCGGGAAAAGTACTATCAAGATGACTTTCGCGACTGGTCTGCCCACTATGTTTGGCGTACCGAAGTACAGCGTCAAACTGAACGAAATGCGAGAAGAGAGAGGAGTCACAGGCCTCTTCGAACATAACCTTATCGAGATTAATGGGAATACTGCGACATTCGAACGACCGAACGGCGAACAGCCCGTACAGCGACATTTCGACTTCCTTCATGTTGCGCCCCGAAATGTACCGCACGCTTTTGTGAAAGAGAGCGGGTTGGGCAACGACGCGGGATTCGTAGACGTGGATCAGCACTCTCTCCGGCACAAGAAGTTCAAGAACGTGTGGTCGCTTGGTGATGCGGCCAGTCTGCCTACATCGAAGACAGTGGCTGCGATCACATCCCAAGCGCCCATTCTCACACAAAATCTCTTGCGTACTATGGATGGCAAGGAGCCAGAGTCCGAGTACGATGGTTATACTTCATGTCCGCTTCTGACCGGTGACAAGAAGGTGCTTCTTGCGGAGTTCAAATACGGTGGTATACCGAAAGAGACGTTCAATACATGGTTTGGTGTTGACCAGGCTGTTCCGAGACGCGCATTCTATCATCTGAAGAAAGACTTCTTTCCTTGGGTTTATGATCGATATCACGTGAAGGGTCTGTGGGGTGGCCCAAGTGGCTGGATCAGGTAGCTTTAGATAAGTGTCAAGAGGTGTTGCGATGTGTTTTTTCACAGGGTTAATCCCCTGCATGGAAGTGTTGGATAACGCATCGTGTGTCGGCAGGGCGATATTGGCAATGGCGCGTAGTCGACGCAAAGACTGACGTTAGCATATTTATCCTGTTGCTCGCTGGAGTTTATAATTCTGCTGCTATCATTGAATAAGGGGCGATATGTGCATGGGCGGTTATTACGAAGAGCACGTGGATGCGTGAAATGTCGGTTTTGGTCTGGAGGGCAGACGCGTGCGGGCTCCAGGGCTGGCGGGATAGCACGCTAAGGACAAAGGTAGCTTAGCGCGTAGCCTGACGTAGGCGTGCTGCAGGTGGCTAGCAGGGCGCGTTTGAACTTTGACAATAGGGCGTGCAACGAGGTGATATGTATAACCAGCGCCCAAGCCACTCTTCCCTCTGCTACTGTCAGCCCAAATCACGTACGCGTTACATCCCACTCCGACTACTGTAATCGGTTCCGATTACCTAGCACCATGACTACGAAGACCTCTCGGATCTCTTGCCGGACTTTCGTCGGTCATGCATTTGCCAATTCGAAGGGCTGTCGCTCTTATCACGGCATGTCCGAGTCTTGGAGACGAGGAACAGTCGGCACATGGCGCTAAACCTCTGGTGCAACGTTGCTTCTGTTGTGCAGGACCTCGAACTGGATTTCCCTTGGCCGCTCTGCACGAGAGATGAGGCGCGACGACACCCTCAAAACCCTACGCCACGGCGATGGACCAGCTGGAGGCCGACACAAGAGACATATTTGCATATCAATCCCCTCTTATCTCACGCCCACATTGATATGCACATTGCGAGCCCAACCAGGCCGAGCATGACTCCCTTCCAAGACGTGGAGGTGCCGTTCCACCCGGACGTACCTTGGCTGCCAAGGCGCGCCTCCGCACCCATGGGACATCTCCACCTACCAAGTTCCTGCGCAAACGCCTCCCACGGGCCTGAATGTTGGTATCAGTAGCTGCAGACGGGTATCATGCCCGTAGTGCTACCCTGGCACGCGACATGTTATCATTGAGGCGTCGAGTCGTCGCTGGCCGTGGCTGCGTGGTGACGCGCGCCGCGACTCTGATCTAAGATCAGGACCGCAGGGGTGTGCGACGACATCATTAGAAGAGAGAGTTGTGCCCAGGCTGGGTTCTCTCACTGCACCTCTGCTGGGCTTGTCTCTTTGCCCTTTCCATGCAGCCTCTCATATCGCTTTACTCCTCCACCTCGTCTCACTGAGCGCATCGATATCATTTGCCCAGTATGAACGTCATCCGCAAAGCTGTGCGGGCGATGTTCCCTCCGCCTCGCGTGGCGCCTGACGGTCGCGCGGAATGGCCCTCTCGAACACCATATGTGCTTGCTTCCATGGGCGGAGCGATGGGATTTGGAAATTTGTTACGTTTCCCTTCCCAGGTCTTCAACAACAACGGCATTCAATGGTTTATACCCTACCTCATGGCTGTTTGCCTCCTCGCGATCCCGGTGCTTATCCTGGAAGTGGCTATTGGACAGGCCTACCGCAGCGGCTGTGTCATCGGTTACAACGGTCTTGATCGACGCTTTACCGGCGTTGGATTCGGAATGGTCTGCGTTGGTTACGCTGTGGCCATCTACTACATTCCCATTCTATCCTGGGTCATGGTGTACTTCCGCAGTTCATTCCGGTCCGCAAACGACTTCCCCTGGAAAGATAACCCACAGGAGTACTTCAGTCATGTCGTCAACGAAGTCCCCGCCATTCCCGCGGTCTACAGCGATGATGGCAGTCGAGTCCTTCAGTATGCCTCATATCCTGGTGTGAACCTCGATGGCGAGCTTGTCGGTTGGGTACTCTTTTCTTGGTTCATCGTTTGGATCTGTTTATACAAAGGCATCGCCATTACCGCTCGCGTCGTCTACATTACCATCGTCTTGCCTATCATCATGACCGTTATCCTTGTCGGCCGTGGTGCGTCTCTGCCCAACGCTGGCCGAGGTATCAAACTATACTTTGGGGAGTTCAACGCCGATCAGCTTGCCGCAGGCAAGATTTGGCAAGCTGCAACCAGTCAGGTCTTCTACTCTACCGGTGTCGGTTTTGGCTATTACTCTGCCTACGCCTCGTACAACTCCAAGTTCTCTGATGCTGTCCAAGACGCCATGATGATCTGCAGTGCCAATGCACTGTTTGAGTCGTTCGCGGCCTTTGCTGTCTTCGGTGTTGTCGGTTACTTGGGCCTGCAGCCTGGTGTTGGTGACCCGGTCGGAACATATACGCTCGGCTTCTACACCCTCCCCAGCGCCATCCAGGAAATGCCCGGTGCTCCATTCTGGTCTGTTCTGTTCTTCCTGACTCTGTTCCTACTTGGTATCAGTTCATCGTACGCGCTGCTCGATGCTATGATCACTACCATTTGCGACACTCACTGGGGAAGGAAGTACAAGCACTCGACCATCGCCACGATCATCACCGTCATCTCAGCCCTGGTATCATTGTTTTACTCAACAGGATTCGGTTATGAAGCTACCAATGCTGTTGACGCACAGATCAGCAACATTTCACTTATCTTCGTCGTATGGGCTGAGTGCGTATGCGCTACTTCGTTCTACCGCTACGCCGACGTCATAGGTCAGGTTGGTGCACCGTCCTTCTGGCTGTACCAATGTTCGTACATTGGCGCCCAGATCATCGGCAATGCCATCGCACATACAGTTTCCGACAAGATCGGTGCTGGTGTTGGCTTTGGTCTCTACATTGCTGGCACAATCCTTGCTATTCTCGTCGCCAAAGATCCCACAGTTCCAGCTCCTAAATTTTGGGGCCGTAACAAGATCTTGAACCGCGTTTGGTGGGTTGGCCTCTACTCAGTAAGTGTACGCTTCTCCAGTGACATATGCAGCTACTTACATTATATAGGGGCACCAACTTGCGCGCGACCTCAACTATGTCGTGTGTGTGGGCAAGCAGTGGCGACTACCCGTCTTCTGGGCACCCATCCTTCGATACTTCGCCGCACCTGTGCTCTCGATCATCTTCTGCTTTGCCTACCCCACGTTCTACGCCATACGTGGCGACCCCCTACAGATCTTCGGTTTCATGGTCGCCCATCTCATCGTCTTAGTCGTCCTTGTCGGCTTCATCATCCCCAAGAGCCTCAATATCTTCGTACCTCCAGAACGCCGCGAGGAAGGAAACAGACAATACGCGCCCCAGACGGTACTTGGAAAGGACGACACAAACATTGTGGGTGGTGTTGCGCCTGGGCAGGAGTACGAAGCAGGCCTGTCAGTGCCGCCAGCTTACGACTCTGACAAAATGGAGGACAAGAAGTGAGTGGTATATGCAGCGGCATCTGATTCACGTGGATGTGCGTATGAATGATCCGGCCCATTGCAACGATTACCCAAGCGCCCAACTCAAATATGACAGCCCAAATGCATTGATCTCAAGATCACGTCCATTGCACCAGACTTGCCCATTGCACTTCCATTCTCCGGTTTTGCCTTTCTTCGCCCATGACGCTTGGAAATGTTTGTGTCTCAGGCCACGTTGGAAGCCTACCTGGCTTCGTTATTTACATGTACAACTCGAAATCCAATCATACATACCCTTTGTTCAACAGTCCCTACACAGCCACTGAGCTGCTACACGCCTTGCCCAACCCAGTCGGCTGACTGTTATGATGCCGATTATCCGAACCTCCCTCGCTTCCACTTCCGGTGTATCTCGTCGTTCGGGGCTGAGTGACCGCGGTTCTTTGGGCCGTGCCGTACCTCCACGGTCATGCTCGATCCATCGTAACGCATGCAACGCTCAACTCACATGTAACCTCTCTGAAAAGACTCTTCACTCTACTGCATGATGCGGTTGTCGGCACGAAAGGACGGGAAGACCAACGTCGCATTTGGTGTACACAACTCTACTAGCGAGTTTCGATCCGACAAAATGCGATGCTGCGCCGCATTCATCTAATCGCGGTCTTCACAGCCGACCATTCAGCAGTCTCTCCGGCACTAACAGCATGGTCACCAAAGACGATGGATGCATTGCGACAATGTGGCTGAAGCTTGCGGTACGCCGTATTGCAGCTGTTCCCGACGTGTGATTCTGTCGCCTTGACACGCGGCCAACTCCGATCTTAGAATCCCCAAGCCACTCCACCAAACGCTGCTGCTCCACCGGCCATCATCATCGCGCCAGTCGGCAGCGGCATACCCGGCGCCCGTCCTTCGCTGTCCGAAGCCTCTACCCCAGTTTCCTCAGCCCCACTCGCGTCACCCGTGCTTGCCGGTGTGGGTGTGGACGTAGCGCCCACGATAGTAGCCATAGCAAACTTCAGATCTGTCCATGCTCTCAATTCCGATTGCGAGAAAACCGTGGGTGTTCCACTTAGAATAGAATATTTCTCATCGTAATAATCCGCGTCGCACGTGACGGGGACTTCGGTTAGCACACCCGTCCATGAACAAGCACCGTTCCTGGTTATTGCACTCGGCATGGTCATGTGGTACTCCCATGTCTCGGGGCCTTGAAGCATGGTGAAAGGAATGCAACCGTCGATTTCTGCTTCTGGTGTCTCTATTGGTACGGCGGTTTTGTAGAATGACCGCGCCCAGGATATCATGCTGTCGAGAGACGCTTCTCGTGCTGATTCTTCGGCTGGAGCTGTTGAGTAAGGATCAGCGGCGGTCCTAGCAAAGAACGATGACATGTTACATACACAAGTACGTCGACGAAGGTGTAGGAGTTGGAGTAGTTGTTTCAGGACACTTCTTCTCGTAGGTGGTGGCAGTATCGTCGGACGACATGAAGGTAAGAGTCGGCTCCATTGGGTTCATCAAGTGTAAATACGTCAGATTATATTGCGCGTTGATTGCGCTCGCCAAAAGCGACGCGATCAAAAGGCTCCTCATTACTACTCTGCTGCTATGCGATGCGATACGGTAGGATCATGTGGGGTGCAGCCTCGTCGACACCACGATGGGCGCATGAGTCGCAACTTATTGCTTTCCCACAATCAAGACTGCAGCCCAAGTAGGCAGCTGCCAAGGCGTCGTCGAGCAGTTATATGAGTAAAGGAAGGGATCTAACTAGAAGCTTGACAAGCTCGCTGACGAGTCGCGGGACAAGATAGTGATGGCGATGTTCACGTTCTTGTGTCTGGCAGGCCTAAGCGACCCGGGAGCTCAACGGCGAATGGGTCGCGTGTCTGTCGCGCCCTCAGGCATCCAGCGCGTAAGGGCTGCAATGGTCCAGACCACAATCTTATAGTCTGTTGACCTTGTGCGCGCTCCTCCAAGATTTCTATATTATATCTCGATCCGACGACTACCTTTTGGTGGAAAGCGCGAGAGAAGTAAGACGATAAAGCCAAGCAATGCAACAGCGGCATTACAGATAAAAGTGAGATGACTTTGGCCAGCCTCGGCAAGCGCGGCGAAGGCGACTCCAAACACGGCCGATGTCGAAAGACGCGCGATATTTTCGACGAGCGTAATGCCGCTGAGTGCGTCGACACGCTCGCTGTTCGGTAACATTTGCAGGATCGATCCCTTGGACGCGGCACCGGTACCTGCAGCAAATGGCAGCATCACAGCAACGACGTACATTTGCCAACCTTGTGATACGAATACGGCAAGACCGGTGAGTATGCCATCAAGCAAAAGGCTGAAGCGCGCATAGAACAAATCAAATGCAAATGTTTCCTGCTCGTTCGTCGGTTCGGGGTTGGGTGGCTCTTCGCTCTCCATCGGGTCGACAGATTCTGTTACTGCCGGAGTTGGTGGTATGATATGAACCTGCACTGTCGGTTCTCGTTCTTCGTCCTCCGCTAACTCATTCTTCACGCCGTCACCCAGCCACTTTCGCCCTGCAGCGACGATGACGGGAAAGACGAGAGATAGGAAACCACCTCTCAATGCTGAGTACATGAAGATGAGTGCTCCGTTCTCTTTGGGGCCGAAGTTGAACTCAATGGTAGCATACATCTGGAGTAAGATCGGGATGTAGCCAGTCGCGAGGATACCCAAGAAAACGCCGATACCGAGTGTGAGTGCTCCAAACTGCAGGCGAGTACGTCCATTCGGTAATTCCCACTTTTGCGGTGCAAAGATGCGGAGGGGGCCGAAGAAATGCGCGATGCCAGTGGTTTCGCGAGGTTTCGCGTCCTTGTCTTCCTCCGGCGGTGGCATGGCAGGTAGCGATACTGCTACATATACGCAGCAAAGCAAGAACAACACCATAGTCATTCGAAAGGGCGCAAGTATACCAAAGTAGTCGCCGATAATGCCTCCGATCAAAAACCCGATAGCGCTCCCGAAGTACATGCAGCCTTGGAGTCTGCCCAATGCGCCTGTGCGCTTTTCATGCTCGACGACGTCCGCCACCAGAGAATTGAGGCACAAAACGTATCCATTAGGGCCACCAAGTACTGTGATGACTTGCGAGCATTGCACGATCATGATGCCAGCGCTGCTGCCATGCATGATGCCGATATTCTGAATCAGAAGGCGGACCGCAGGCCAGAAGATCTGAATGATCAAAGCCAACTTGACGCCCAGGCGTTTGATAGTCCATGCAGCTACCAGCAAATTGACAAGGCCGAAGATCGTAGTCGATGATGCCAGAAGTGCAAAAGCCCTGGCCGCTCCAGCGTCGATTTCGCGTCTCGCACATCTATCCACGGGGTGCGGATCCGGCTCATGATGTTCGTAATACGCATCGCAGGTCAATATCCGGAAAGCGTATAGCATAGGAGCCTGCGTGATACTGAATGTCAACGACACAAGGAACGCGCATATCAAAGCCCGGAATAACATTGGGACGGCCTCTTTTTCTTCTCTTGGTTTCGGCTCATCGCGCGGCAGGAGGGGTGTGGTCTCCTCCTCTTGAATGGTCGAAGGACGTCGGAATTCTTGGGCGATAGCCATGCTTGGGATTTGGCATGGGAATGAGAGAGAAAAGCTTGGTGTTGAGGAAAAGTCTTATCGTGATGTGCATGGCGTTGACTAACGCTCTGTGGAAGCTGCGTCCGGGTATCGGCGGGGTAGCGGCTGCGCGTATCTCCAGACTACCCACCTGGGCACACCGACTATATCGCGTCCGTCGTGTACTGGACGCATTGAGCCCACACAAAATGCGAATTGCAGATTTGGGACGCTGCAGTGAGATTTGAACAGCAGAATGCAGAAGCTCGCGATGACGTCAGCCTATCAATACCCTCGCCACTGGGACCATCTTCGTTGCAGTTTAAATTCCTCTGTTTCGGGGCGATATATAGCTGTTGTTTGAACAGAATACAACATACTGTACAAGAAAATTTACAAGTATCGCAATGTGGTCGAGCCACCTGCACGTGTCGGTGGGTAGTGTTAACTCAAAGCCAAAAGAAACTAGGACAAGAAAATTCATTAATGTTGAAGCATCATGGAAGAATGCATGAAATCGATTGAGATGCGATACGAAGATTTTATCCTCGTGGTTGTGTACAATCGCTCAAAGTAGGGTATGCCGTTTCCTGTAAGTTTCCCCCTTCCCAAAATAAACGCCGCTTATACCGTCCATCCAATACCCAATGCCATGCCGAAAGATTTGAAATGTCGTAGCCCCTCAATGCCAAAACGCCAGCGTTCGCTGTCGTCGAGCAAGAAAGTTCTGATGAAGTACAATGCCGAGTGTGTTTGATTGTCGACTTTTGAGTTTGAGTTGTAGTACGCTTAAGCGAACTCAAAGCGCTCGTTGCAGTGCGACATCTCGCGGAAGCAGTGAGGGCACAGGTCAAGACCCTGGGAGGTCAGACCAAGTGCGGCAGATGCGGCGTGGAGAGTCTCGCGGGTTGATGTGGGTGCGCTGGTGGAGGCCGGGGTTGGGGCACCAGAGGCACCGGCGGGAGTGGAAGAGACGGAGTCTGGAGACGTTGTTAGTATGGACGAAAGCGTCGGTAGAGAGATAAACATACCCTTGAAGGAAGGCATCTTGAAGTTGATTGTTTGATGGATTTGTTTGAGGTTGAGTTATTGAGGTATGACGTATGTAATGTTCGTCTGATGTGAAGTGGAATAGATGCAGATGTGAATGTGGATGACAGAAGGCAAAACCCCAGAGCCACAATCCCTCTTATACACCTCCGCCTTCGCCGCGCCTTCCCAACATGACCCTGAATCCAGTCACCAGCGAAAAATTGGCGAGCAAAAATCGTGCGCAACAAGCACCATCCCGACTTGTCCCGGAACCGTTTGGAGAATTTGCGTCGAACGACATCAAGATGATGCGCCACGCTCGCCTCACGCGCTAAGTGGAGTGATGATAACGCGTGCGGACCCACTGTTAGCCGTTAGTGCGGCTGAGATTTTCAGGGCCGCGAGCAAGAGGCTCGCCATCGTGCATTTGATAACGGCTAGAATGTGTTTTCCGGCTTCGGAAAAGGGTTTCTGTTGACCGGTCGAATGCAAGCTGAGACACGCTTGACAAGTTTTTGATGCTTAAGATAGAGCGATTAGTGGCTCGGACAGGTGGAAAGCGAAGTTTTGCTGTCAACGGCCTCGAGACGGGAGATAGTCGGTGTAGCGTATCTGTGCTACCGGTCCTTCACATGTCAGACGTGTTTTGGGTCGTTGCGGTTTCAGACGACGTCATCGCGTTATCGTCATCGGGGGTCGCGATCTTGCGATGCATCCACCAGCCTCGCCTATCTCTGACACCTTCTGTCACGTTGCTGTCGATGACTATGAGACTATATCTTGGAATGACTCAGACAGCTAAGAATCATTGGCAAGCGGCTGCAGAGGTGCCATTTACACATTGACTGAGCGATGCAGCTGTGTGGGCCGTGTCGCTGTTTAGACGCTGGAGCACTTGGAATAGCACCACGCATGATGATACCGTGGTCGGCCAAACAAACCTGAGGCAGTACAGGACTTTGGATAGTATTGAGCTGTAGATGGATTTGACGTTTCCTCGGTGGACTTCGACGCGTTCCATGAAGTTGACGCGCTGGAGAGAGCCCTGGAGGTAGGTACCTAGGTAGCTAAACCCAAATAGGTATAGTCGCTTCATCGCTCCAACTGGTCCCGAAGTCGATCTATGGATGCTTCCCTAGCACCCACGCGCTTTCCATCTACCTAAGTCTTCCAACGTTCATATCCCAACCGCATCAAAAGCGCTGTGCTCATGACTACGACCATGTCTGAATGGCGGAAGAACTCCCGAAATCGCATCTCTCGTCGACCCGATCCGCCTTTGCCCTCATAGACCCAAGCACGTCCTTGTTCCACCGCCAGATCGATCGCCACGCCTACCTCACCAGCGGGTTCCGTACCCACGTCGCGATATCATACGTATGGAGCGAATGACGAGATAATGCATCGGATAAGCTTCCGAGCTGGGCAGCGCTCCAGAAGCGGCTGACGTCCCTTCTGGGCGAGCGTGCCTCTCCGGGCATGAAAGCTATCACGGGGAAGGCGACTCGCTGTTGGTTAGATTGCATGTGCATCGATCAGGAGTCGAGCGAGGACAAGTCGTATTGGATACCGCGCATGGATGAGATATACTATGAGGCGCGATGCACAATCTTGCTCCTGCGAGTACCTGGGCTGGATCTCAGCCCTGTACTGGAGATCAAGAGGCGCATGTTCTGCCCATTGTCTGTGCCACTGAGGCTCAGGGACATCGCGCAAATGGTGCCGCATAGCTGTCTTCTGTGTCAATCTTGCACGTCGCTGCAGGAGATTGACTCAGAGCTCGAGACGACAGCCCTCAATGCGCTAAGGGTTCTGTGCCATGCTACGTGGCGCGAGAGAGCCTGGATTATACAAGAGATACTACTCAGTCAGAACTACTTACTGACTTGGGACGATAGTGGCGACTGGCTTTCTCTCGCCGACACCGCCGTAGTTGCCGCACTCTTATTCCGTCGGAATTAGGAAGAGACATGGCTCGATGAGTTTGCGTCTTGGTGCCGCAGATTATGGTTTCTTCGGCAGAACTACGATGAAGCCCAGACGTACGAGCTATGCGACGCGAACGTATTGCAGCTAGCTTCCACGCTCAGCGCGACGGTACCATCAGACAAATACTACGCCTTGTGTGGCATGCTGCGGTTCAAGAATGTGAAGCCAAACCCAGCACACAGTGCCAACGAAGCACTCGAGGTTATCGTAGAATCCATGGCTCAAGAAGGCCGGATGAGCTGGCTGTATGCTGTTCCACTATCTCTTATGATTCCCATGCAACTCCGAGATGGAGAAATGGCACCGTTTGTCCTGACTCGACTTGAGGATCGTCTAAAGCCTAATAAGAAGCATAAGGCGGTCATTCAATCCGGCGAGCTTACTCTAGACGCGATCCAGCTCGGGCGCATCACTCAAGTACTGCCATTCTCGCAAGTTTTGGAGTCAGCATTTAATCACCTACGCGAGACGCGCGACTTTGACTTTCCCGAAAGCATAGCATACTGTCATCGCGTACCAGACATCATCCGAAGGCTTTCACTTGACTCAGTGGACCCTTTGCTTCTTGAACCCACTTTCGGGCACATATGCAGAGCTCTCCAGCCGTTGGACGCAGTCAAGTCGGAAGCTCGTAAAGGATGGCTACGCATTATGTTTCTCAGCTTCATCGACGAGCCTCTCATACAAGAGATGTGCGAAGGAGCTGCGGAGGAAGAAATACGGATCGTGAAATTATCGGCAATGTCACTCCAACGGCATCTGATGAATATACGGGATCGCTTCAGCGTCTTGCTTTGGACTAAAGAGGCAAAAGATGATACTCTCACAGTCATCAGTGTAGCGACCTTGGGTTGTCCGGCTGATGCTCACATATTCTCATTAAACGGTGAGCCCGACTCGATGTTTGCAGCTCATTTGCGGGATCAAGCGAACGCCTATGATGAGTTTTGTGGCCCGTTATTCTCGTTGAACGTACGGGACACCATTGGCCCTCGACCTTCTAGACTGTTCACTACGCCGTTCTGGCGAAAGAAATCTCACACCCCGCATGCGCAATCACTTCGGTTCAGATACGCAAGAGGAGATGAAGTATCGTAACACGTAACTGTCATTGACTTTTGTTATGTAAAAGAAGGAGGTACATGTAAACTCAGAAGCACAAAGTGAGCAAATACGAATGAAACTCTCCGCCGATTTGACCTGCTTTGTATCCACCATAGCCTCATTGCGTAGCGACGCCCTTGTCATTAGCTAGGTTGTCGCCAACAATGATAGTGTTCGACCCGTACGAACCACCTCATCTAATGGCCCTTGGCAAGATGATCACGCAGCTTGTCCTGGCGATAAAACATTTTACCACAACTAGGATAAATGCAAGGAAAGAAGGGGCCGGTGTGTTTCTTCATGTGCCGGCGATACTCCTCACGGCGACGAAACGTGCCAGTACACCCGTAAGGACACTGAGGAGGAGCTGTAACGGCGGTATGCGGAACCTGGTTGTTGAATGCCGGATGGGTGGGTGCGACAGGAACCTGAGGCTGAGGCTGGGATGGGGGCCCATACGGCATGACATCTGGGCCGCTGGCCTGCGGAGGGACGGGTGTGTACATGAACTGTGAGGCTACGGCGTGGAGAACCCCCTGACCCATACCATAGGGGCCTTCGACGTCGGCAAGGGGTTCATCGTTACCCAATAGGTAGTTGGCATCGCCATTCAGAACGGCTCGGCAGTCATCCACTAGCGTGGGGCTACCCGCGAGGTGGGCCCCGGGTGCATGTGAACATTGTGAAGTCACCTGTCTGGTCGGACCCCGGTCATGACCTGTCATCTTCCTAATCGGGTCAGCAAAAAGTTAAAAAAAAAACCTACCCTAGGCTAGCCTCGCTAGCCATAGGATGATCATCCGGAATATCGATCGCCCAATCGAAGTCTTCATCGCCTGTTTCACCGAAGGCTGGAGTAGGAGACATATCGAGGAGTCTTTGATATGGCTCGAAACGCTGGATTGCTTGGTGTTGTGCGAGAAGATGCGTGCAGACGATGGGCAAACGAAAAGACGTCTGGAGCTGTAGACAGTCGGTCGCGAGACGGCCTCGGATTGTGTCGGTATTTTCGTGCCTTGTGTCGTTTGTAGTAAGCTGGCAGCGACGCTTGATTTTCGAAAGCGAAACCTGAGCACGATGCGCGTGGCGGGCGACGGCTGCTACACATTCCCTCTCCATTGTGAGGCTGAGGAGGACCTCACGCCAATCTGGTTAGTAAAACGCCACTGTGCCCTTCAATGCATCATGAGATTAGATATGCAGCCATCCAACCATTCAATGACCAAGTCCTGCTCCGCACGGGTGCTATTCGAAACAATACTGTGCCCTTCGACACGTGACCAGACACCGCCGGAGGAATAGACCTCCGTTGTTCTTCAGCCTTGCTCGCTCATCCAAGGCTGACTCGGCATTGAAAAGAGCAGGCTGGCAGCGAGGCTGATTTTGAGGCTCAACCATCAAGCAGGCCCAAGGCGCACTATGCTGTTACCAACTTTGTTTACTCCACGTGAGTCTGCAACTACATTTGGGCAATGCCGAATTGATGATCTCATTTGGTGTTCCACAATCTGACCCTTTCAGTGATCCATACAGAACACTCTATCTTTATTCATAGTCTAGCGACGACGATGCAACGGAAAGAGTGAGGAGATGGAGATGTAACGCGTGAAACAATACCATTATTCTTCCTTCACGCTTTGGCACGACAAGATATCCATATGACCTCGCTCTGCCCCCTTTACTGCTCCCCATTCTTCATCGTCTTTCCCTCGCCCAACCCACACAGTGTATCATACCTTCTGTTTATCTTACACTCCCTTCAATTACAATCGTATCGATGTGAGTTATCGACGACACCATATGTTGAGGTCCGTAGATAAGGATGCGTGCCCCGTTCTTTTTCCTTACCCACACTCACATTCCCACCATGCTCCGCCGACTGCAGACCCAACGGCTGCGGAACCAGCTCACGCGTCGAATCCGAAAACGACGTCTCGTAAAAACTGGGTGGAAGTTCAAGCCGCTCAGTGAACTTCGATGCCCCAGACTCCACCTGAGAAACTGGAGACTCGCATCGCTTCGGTGGCGGGTGAGATGAAGTAGCAGGAGGAGGATGAGCAGGCGGAGCCGAGACTAGCGGGGACGAAGGAGGTGTAACGAGGGGTTCAATATGCGGTTTAGGATGGAGACGGATGAAGTTGAAAGATGACTCCTTCTTCTTTGGCTTGTTGATGGAGAGGCTGAGGCAGAAGAGATTCATTGTGGGCATGGTGGCATAGCAGGACGGCAGTATGACGATATGGCAAAATGGCAGGATAGCGTGTGAAAGCTGGGTTTGCTAAGTTTAAGTAGTAATGAGTTTTGTGTGATTCTGTTTACACGATGCTTGAGAGACAGTGTTGTCTCATCGTTGGGTTGTGTGGGTGTGGACGAACAGTGTGCGACATAGGATGGGATGTCTTGCTAGAAGTGTTGGTGAAGGGGGATGTTCTGCTTCGTACGCACACTGCTGAAGTGAATCAAGTAGGTATTTTCGAAGACGACGCATGCTTCTACCTCAAATAACTTTTCTTTCCTGGATGCGAAATGAATTGTAGCCAGCCCTAGGACGGCCGCTTATATTCTTACAGCACAGGCATGAGTACCTCGCTCATCCATTTTTTCACGTGTTCGCACAACTGCTGGTTCTCGTGCCCATTGGTCTCTCGCGTACCCATCGTTCCCCATCTTTCGTCGACATCCAGCGCCAGCTTTTGGAAGAGCTTTCCGACCTCTTCGTCTGCGTCGCTCCAAACCAAACTCTTCAAGTCGCCGTCCTCATGTAGCCAGTTCTTCAAGAAGTCGCCTTCAACGTGTTTGTGCTTAGCACCTCGCTGAAGACTTTGCCCCAGATAACGTGGATCTATATCCCTAACCAAGATCGCACCATGTTGATTGCCAGGGGTGTTGTTCATAAGAACGTTGAAGATGTCGCCACTACGGGGTTTGACTGTGTCGTGTTTGTGGGCGCCCGACCGTTTCGACTTCACCTCGATCAGGTTTTCTATCAGACGAAGTAGTAGACGGGCGGATAATAAGAGAATGGAGAAAGAGAAGATCGTGCCATCGGTACAAGCGCCGATGATATCGTCGACAAGGATCCCGGTGATCTTTCCTGCAGGATTTGGACGGCGCCAAGGTGGGCGGATATCGCCGCGGTCGAGACGGATCACAGATCGGGGGAGACATGCTTCGAACAACGTCGGTGAAGCGTTGCTGTGGGTTCGAAGAGGTGGTTGGTAGAGACCAGTCACCGAGCTGCTCTTCTTATCGGTGAGTAAGACGAATCGATGGTTGCTACTACCCTCCTTGTCTGGCAAATCCATGACGAGATGTCGCGCGCAATTGCGCATACCACTATCAGAGAACTCTCGCACGAACTCGAAAGTATCGGGTCGTGCTGATTCCACAACTTTGAAGCAAAGATGTGAGTGCTGGAGCGTTGAAACGTAGACGAATGGCTGTATGACAGACACATGGATCCCTGGAGAGTGCAGATCTGTTTTACCGCGCTGGAACCATCGACCGGCTTCCTCGTCGAAACGATCGATGCATAAAGATTTCCCGACGATACTAACTGTCGTCTGGTTGTCCCACAGCGCTATGCCATAGACAGGATCGTTATATGTTGACTGTTTCTGCAAGTCCAACTTGGAGCCCGATTTGCCAGTGTTGAAGATCAGTCGCCTTCCGCTATGCTGCGAGGGGCCGATCTGGATTCCGGTGCCGACAATGATGAGATTATATCTCTTGCTGTCTTTGTTCAAGAACTGCCATTCGACGATGGAATACACCCTCTCGGCATTCATCAAGGAAGCCTGAGCAACGACTAGTCGCTCCACCGGCGCTTCCACCTCTTGTTTGATCTCGACGTCATCGGTCGGTCTGTCGTCGCGCACCCTTAGTAGCTTGATCGATGAGTGCAGGACTCGTTCGCCAGAAGGTGGCACTCGTCTCTCTTTCGCTTCCATAGTCGACACTAGTACTCGTCGTAACTTCTGCATGTACAGGATATTGCTCGGCTTAGCACCCGTGCTGAGTTTCCTGGGAACAATTTTGGAGTCGTGCAGAAACGTAGAAGGCAGGTCTTGGCTTGACCATTTTACGTCTGCATCCAGTTGCGAGAAGAGAAGACGATCTCCGGCGACTGCAAACAGAAAGCCGCCGAGGTTCCTCCCAACAACGTCCAGTTTCGGTAGAAATGGCAGTTGATAGATCGCCGATACTGGCGATTGATTGTACTCGGGGTGGCCGCGATCGGTAAACCATATGGAATCGATGTCGAGACACGAGAATTCGCATGAAGAGGGGCGCACTCGGCAGAAATCTGATCCACAAGAAACAAACGCTGCAGATACATCTGTTTCACTGCGGGTGATCTTGGCTGAAGCTGCGCCCATATGAGTAGAGCTCCAGGACGGGGGTGATATGACTGTACGATGTGAGAAGCGTCTCGTATTAGGATCTATTTCAACTTACCACCGTGCTCTACGTGGATTTGCGAACTCAGAAGAGTGCCATCCCGCATTGCGCACACCAGAAGATTCTTGCTGTCCTTGCTCAGAACGGCAACACTCTCACAGAGCTTCTGCGAACCGTTGAGGGTATCTTGGTCTTTCCAGGAGTCTTCCAACGTCAACGAGGTCTCACCATACGAGTACTGAAAGAGGAAGACCTTCGAATCGAATGTACTAACGAACACATATGGAAAGCCGTTGATCTCCAGTGTCTCTACGCATGTGGGATCATGAGCTAGCTGGTATTGGAATGAATTCGATCGGTCGAAGTTGCCGCCATTTGAGATTGGTATGATCTCCAATAGCGCGTGACCGCTCTTTCGAGACGCAAGCGCGATGAAAGGGCATGCAGTATGTGTGACAGCCAACAGCAATGGAGAGTCAAACTTCAAAGACTCGATTTGTCTCAATGTTGGCCGAAGAAGAGTGCGGGCCTCTCGCCGTGTAATCTGGATCGATATCGTGTCAGACCAAGGACACGCCGAGATGGTCTCCTCTTCTCGCATCAGATCGTCTTCGAGCGGATCATCGTCGCTGGGTGTTTGGAACTTATCCCAGAAGCCCTCTTCCCATGCTCCAGTGAAGTCTGCACGGCTCTCCGGTTGTGTACGGACGACTCGAATTACCAAGGTCTCTGGCGGGAGCGTTATTGAAAATATCGCATAATGCTGTCTCTTCATCGTGCCTTCGATGTCTGCCATATGACTGCCATGGTCAACCACCCATATCCCAGCGCAGCCGTTGATGCCGCTGAAACTATCGTCGACAACAGCTTGTATGCCGCGTCGCAGCTCCGAGATCTCTCCATGTGGATTGTTGCCGTTTGCGACAAAAATGGACGATCGTTGCCGTTCGTCTGACGCGCGCGGGCTAGAAAGTTTGGTTACTACAAGGTCTGTAAGAGGCGCCCAATTTGGGATGCTATCGACGAAGGAGAATTGATTTGCGCTTGGATATTGTACTGCATACGAGTACTCAGTGGGCCAGGCACCGACTTTGCAAAGCAATCCATCATTGCTTGCCCCACCGGCGATCAGAAGATCTGGGTATTGCTGCGACATTTCTGAGTTGTCGATGCCCAAGCATGAAAAGGAGGTGTCAATCCGGTGTTGCCAATCACCAGCCTCATCGATCTCCAGCGTGCCCGCTGGCCCTCGCACCACATACATAATACGGCCATCCTCTCTTGCAATGTAAAACACCTCCTTTTGGTATTCGGAGTTGCGCGGCGCCTTATCCCAAGCGGTCCACTTGGGGGCGTGCTTGCCATCGCCTGGTAGTATTGATTGGAGTATTGTCTTGTCGATCGGCACTGTGGTTTGCGTTGGATCTCCAGAGAGAATGTTTTTGTAAACCGAGATGTGGTCGTCGGAAATTAGAAGGAAATCCGGACTCCGGCTAAGTGGTATGAGTAGAGAAGGTATTGTGTCCTCTAGACAAGTCAGTGACGCTCATATACTGCTCAGTACGTCTATACACTTACCAGACTGGACAAGGTATCGCTCCGTCCGAGGGGTTGCTTTACTGAGATCCTGTCTGCAATCCCAATCGAAACAGGTGAGCCTGGTCCTCCCTTGGAGGACGACAACGAACAGCAAAACAACGTGGTAGTCGTCCTGTCCACCTCCTGATGATAGGAAATCCATGTGCATGATCTGACCTTCAATAGACATGATTCGCTCATCTTCAATAGGCGCAGCAATCTCATTGTTCATCCTAGAATCTCTTTTCCATCTTTCCATTGGCTTCGTCTTGTAGAGGATAAAGCGCCCTTCGTGTGCTGCGACTGCCATTGCTCTGCATTTAGGATCTATAGCGAGGAAGATACCAAAGCGATCCAAGCGGGAACTCCCTGCAGGTAGCTTGATGGTCTTCTGGATGAATGTGGCAGTACCTGCCGTATCGTGTTGAGCCCACAAGAACATCAACGATCGGTTTGATAGTGTAAGCACGATGACTTCCGGAGGTAAGACGTCGTCTCCATTTCCTGTGGTTGGCCTTCTTGCCCTGTGCTTCATGTAATTTTGATGTAGCGAAGGACTGCCACTTGTGGTTGCGGAAACTTCACGAGGGTCGCCAAAGACTTTGGCGGTGATGATGCGGCCGCCGTTAAAGTCAGTCTTGGAAGCCACATGGCGGATCTGACCATAGTCACGGATCTCTTTGAGACGTATGAAGTCCTCACCGACCATGACAACGTCGATCAGATCTTTGTGACGTATCTTCGCCGGAAGGATGATTTTGCTTAGCGGTGTCTCAAAGACAGTCTGCGACAGTATACCGTATTCAGGCACTTGGCTTGTTGGCTTGGGCGTTGCATCCCGCATCTCAACGTCATCTTGAGACGCGTTGGCCATGATCTGATAAGGGTCGAGCGGTCTGGAAACCCACTCACCGTCGACGAGGCTGAGGCCGTGGGCTTGGGCCATGACGTTTGATTAAAGCCTATTCGGAAGGCTGGAAACAATGTATAGCTTGAAGACCGAAATCGATGGTGACAGATTCCGCGCACAACACGGGATGAGATCAGACCAGCGTAGGTAGAAGCAACGAAGGCAGACTCAGAGCTGAAACGGATGACATGTTGCTGCCTGTCGCAACAGGCTTGTCAGACACGCTGATGAGGCAAGGAACTTCAGCAATAGGTACTGGGATCAATTGATGCAACAGAAAGCCTGTCGGATGTGGCAAGGGCTGGATTGGACGGTTAGTGGTGGTGAGCGGAATAGCAGCAGCGACCTAAGGCAACTGGAACCGGGATGCCTTGACCAACTCAAGCCGGCAGCTAGCAGGCCACTACAGCACCCTGGACACCTTCTCAGAGATGGAGTTACCGGATGCACCTACTACTAGCACGCAGCACGTGTAGAGCGCGGAAAGGCTCGTGTAGTGCGCTTCAAGTATCGGAAGGGGGTACCGATCTAGATCACCAGATGATCGTGCAGCAGGGAGTACGATCTTAGTCGGATCGCGGTCGGATCGCGATGGCTATGTGAGTTGGTTGCAAGTCCAGTGGTGCGGCGCAGTGGTTGACCAGGGTACGGGAAGTCTTCCAGCAATGGTTGGTCGGCGTGAAGGTGTCGAGCATGCAGACAGTGCGCCGACACGGAAGATTTGGCGGCACGGCAGCGTCTCGGGCCTTGGTGGCCGCCGGCGAACAGGTGGGCGCGAGTGGTGTTGTCGGGTTACACGGTCGTCACCCCCGCGCAGACAGCGGATAAAAGATGATGGCGATGGGATAGGAGGCGGCAAGTGCCGGTAGTTGACCTTCACAATTCGGTGGGGTGCCAAGCGCCTCGGTTGGACAAGGAGGAAGGCGCGACCCGTCACGTCAACCCGGCAGCTGGGACGCCCACGCGCAACAGCATGTAGCTCCTTAACAAACATCTTGCTACCCTCTTGCATCTCTTCCCTGCGCTCTCCTGCGCACACAAGGGCCCACGTTGGCCACGTCATCGCGCCCCAGATCCAGCTCTTTCTTGCCGCTGCCGCGTACTGAGGGCACGTCTCGAAATGCGGGCACTGTCATGGCATCACGCACTCCCTCTGGCTCCGTGTCGCGCTCAGTGAGCTCTGGCAGCCTGCCCACGCGCCACGCGACCCCCGTCCCCCACCTCACGCCTGCCGAGAAGGAGAAGGAGTCTCTGGTGCGCGCCGCAATCGACAATGGCGACGTCACCGCTCTGGTAGACCTCGCGACCAGTCCATCTGGCCTTGTCAGCGATATCTTGCGTTGCACTGCTTGTAGGCCTCCCATTGCACGCATCCCCACACTAGGCTGACAACTATAGGGCCTCTCTTGCTAGGATGCTCTGACAAGGATTCAGAGAAGGAGCCATGGAAACATCTCTCCGAGCACAAGGATGAGCATCAGGTTGGCTTGGACGTCAACCGCGCGTTTGTCTACTACCCCAGGAATGGTATGTCGCATACAAGCGAGCCAACTTGTGTTTCATACTAATAGGACCAGAATCTGAGAAGCAGCTCAATCGTCGAAAGGAGCAGCTCTCCGATGTCATCCTCGACGTCCTGCGCCATCACCCCACGCTCTGCTACTTCCAGGGCTACCACGATATCGTCCAGGTCTTCCTACTCGTCCTCGGCCCGGAACATGCCCCCGCTGCAGTTGCTCGACTAAGCCTGCTTCGCATTCGCGACTTTATGCTGTCGTCGCTCGACCCAGCCCTCGCCCAGCTCGAATTGCTGCGACCGATCCTCCGTGCCGCCGATCCCGTCCTGTATGAGCATCTCCCCAAAAGCCAGCCGTCATTCGCGCTCGCCGGAACAATCACCATGTTCGCCCACAATATACAAGACTACAAGGATATCACGAGGCTGTTTGACTTCTTCTTGGCTCGACATGCCGTCATGCCCATATACCTCTTCGCAGCTGTGGTGCTATCCAAGAGGGAGGAGCTGCTGGAGTACGAGAAGGAGGACGAAGACATACTCTATGTCATGCTAGGGAAGCTCCCAGAGCCCTTCGACGTCGAGTTCCACATCGCTCGGACCGTTGAGCTATACGAGAGATTACCTCCTGCGTCGCTCAACAGTTGGGAGTGGTGGCGCATCTCGTCCTCCAGCGTACTCAAATCGTCTGCGACAAACAACAGTCTGCGTCATCTTACCTTGGAAGATGGCGAGATGCTGTTTTTGCAGCAGGAGCAGGACCTCCGCCGCGCGCAGACCCTGAGACAGGCCGTCAAGACCATCCGGTATATCAACCTGCGTGTTTGGTACCACCGCCGGTACGGGGCTGTTGGTCTTGCCATGGTAGTGGGTGCCTATGCCCTGTGGCTCGGCAGGAATGGAGGTCACAACACGGGATACCCGCTTCTTGGACCGTTGGGAGGGTACCTGATGAGGTTTCTCGGGGCCCCAGCATGAATGGTGCATCAGGAGTTGCGGATACAACAAAAGTGGTTTCAGAGCATAGCATGGCGCTAAGGAAAGATCGGCGCAGCAAGAGGAACAAAAGTTTGAAGGGTCCTTTGGCTCATATAGAGATACTTCACATTCATCAGTGACCAATTCCTCATTTTGTTCCAGATGGCTGGTCTTTTCTGCGACTGTCTAACACCATCCATGCATATATGTCCCAAATTCTCACCAGGCAGTTTACGCTTATCTCTCTCACAGCACGCCCGTAAACGTCGCTAGAGGGTGTACTCAACATCACAGTACCTAGTACCAGGACACTACGACCATATTAGCCAACTTCACATCCCCATCCTTCACCAACCCGGCTTACCGTATCATGAAACGCACAAGCCCACAGCTTACACTGCTGCATCTGTAGCTGTCGCGTCAAACCCATCTTGGTCTGTCAAACCGTCAGCTCGAATCCAGCAATGAATCTCTTTCTCTGGTCTCAGTGGCGGATACGTACCTTCATGCAATACTCAATCTCCTCGTCACAAACGCCGGATCCGGGGATCTCGGATAGCAGGGTTGCGGGTTTGGGGATCCATCGGTAGGTTGTAGTGCGGGGGTTTGTGGTTGGTGTTGCGGCGAAGGCGAGGGGGGCTATGAGGAGGGTGGATAGGAGTAGGAGTATGGGGTGCATGTTTGCGCGGTTGTTGTTATGGTTGTCTGGTTCGTGTGTTGGGAGAGGAATGCGTGGTAACTGAGTGATGGGTCAAGAGGTGGGTGAGAGTGTTGATCAGTCGCGTCGGCGTTGTGAAAGATGTTATGACGTCGAGGTGGATAGTGAATGGTAAGGGAAAGGCATATCAAATGAGTGTCACTCGCTTGAAACTCGTAATTGAGCTGGTAAGCCATTCATCTTGGTAGAAGGTTGCAGATGACTATTGATAGGTTTACCCAAGGTAAGACATTCCGCCATTGAGAAAGCATATTGACATACTTCTTAGGCTGCGTGTACTGTCCAATACACACCAATCCCAACACCAACTGACTCTGTCGTATAAAAGCTGACATAGTGCTTCAGTCCCGCATTTCATGATTACTAGTCAAAATTGTTGGGCACCGGCGATCCATGGAGGAGAGTGCGCAAATCAGGTTGTAGCACCTCTCCATGTCCGAGTTTGTAAGTGCAGCGATCGCAGTCCATGCACTGCAAGAAAGTTAGCCCACTCCATCTAATCATGATGATAGTCCACTTACAGCCTCATCCGCGCACATGCTCTTGCGGTACTTCTCCTTGGTCTCAGCATCAGGCGAGCCCTGTCGCGCATTAGTCATCGTTCGCAAGGCCCAGGTGCATCGTCGTAGTAGAAGAGAACGCGCAGGGAAGGGGGACACTTACAGCAGTAGGGTAGAGATACATCATGTACTCGCAGCTTCTGACCGTTTCACACACTCTGTTGTCAGGGTAAGGGTACAAGTACTTCGGAAAGCCCGCGCATGTCATCCTTCCCTTGGGGAAAGCATCTGTAGGTCCCTCGGGTTGGCAGCCACCGGCCCTGCTGCACTGGTACGGCACCGACCATGTACCGTTTTTGGCGCATTTGTACATGAAGCGCTGGTGGGTGTCGCAGGCCCAATCCCCGTAGGCACATTCGGTGCTGTTGGTTTGACGTTGGACATTCGACGGACCTACACCACCTGTCTCGCAATGCGCTTGGCCTGGGCTGTCAGTGATGCAGTCTCCGTAAGTGGTGCACTTCTTCTCGGTATGCCACATCTCGTTGTCTCCGCAAATCATGAGAGCGTATGCGTCGGAGTCGCACTTTCGATCGCCTGGTGTGCATGGCTCGGGTACGGTCGGTGGAGTAGGTGGCTTCATCCAGCATTGCACGACATCGTCATGCCTGACGCATTCGGAAGTCTTAGGACACATAGTAGATTTCCAGACGTTGTCGACACACTCCTGACGCTTGTTGCCAGAGCAGCGAGACGTGCCAGTATCGCAATACTTATGAGCATCTGGAGTTCCTTGCGAAATCCACGACCGAGAGTCAAGGGATTTGGGAGGAGGAACAGTGGGCGGGATACCGGCCATAGAGATACATTTCACCTTGCCTGAAACGACTTTTTTACCGGGCACCCAGTACATACAGAAGTCTTGAGGTCCACATGTTGTGCGGGCAATCCAGAATTGGTCATAGTTGCAGGATTCGATGTAGTGAAGACCGCTGGACCACTTTGAGCATCGCACCTCTTCCACTGTCTGGCACGGCTCGGGCTGTGGAGGGGTCGGAGGACCAGGGTACGTTGGCGGCAAGTTCTTGGTCGCGCAGGAAGTCTTGTTCATGAGTGCGTTGCATACTCCGGGTACAGGGCATGCTTCGACGACTTTCCATTGGTGCTCGTTGTTGCATTCGAGACGCCACTCGTTGCCGAGGCAGCGCTCTTCGCCGATGTTGTCGCAACTTGTCTCGAGACAAGAGCCGCGATCATCGGGGTCGTCGACGTCAATGGTACAGACCGCTGTGTTGCCACATGCTCGTACTAGATTCCATTCACCTTGGTAATTGCACTGCAACAAGCCGTTCTCGCGGCACATTCGGGTGTCTGGCTGGCAGGGTCCCTCTGGGGATGGAATGCTGGCAGAAAGTGCAACAGGTAGGATTGCGGACAGAGCCACGAGGATCTTGTTAACTCGCATCTTCAGTGAGCGTGTAGAGTGAGGTGATAGTCGTGACAGGGGCAGGGGCAGGAGGAGAGAATTGGAGGTAATGGTGCAGGAGGGAAGTAATGTAGGTGACTGAACAGCACATTGATGTGGAAAAAAGCACTAGGCTAAAGCTTTGGCAGTGGAATTACAACGACTGCCTCATGATTTGAGGCAGGTGATAGGTCGGTAGTGAGGGAAAGAGCTACCCCGATACTGACAAACGTCCAAATGAGCGAGTGATTGACCGCTTTCTCGATCATTGGCGCCGTCGTTCAACTTACAGCCTATCAGTTAGCATACAATACCATACCCTGGGTCCTCAACATCCAGCCAAGCTTCTCCGCTCTGAGTGTTTGCACTCCGATGGGCAGCAACTCCACGAGGCAGGCACGACTAACGTGGTCTAGACGCGCTTGCTTCAATCAAGTCTGATTGTATCGGATGCGGGAATTTTATTGAAGTAGAATGGAAGCGACTTGTTGAAAAGGAGGATTGGAAAAGCGAAAGCAGGAGTGAAAAGGGACAGACCTGGAGATTCTCGTCATGAGCGCGAGTCACGTGACGCGCTCAAGCTCCACCAGCAACTCAGTTAGGACTCACTGTCATCTCTAATATTGAGTGAAAGCTTCAGTGGCTCGCTTGACAGTAGGCTATTTCCTTGACTTCTAAAGATTCAGACTCACGTTCAAGCTTCGTTTCGCAACGATCAACCCGAACCAACACATCCCATCCGCCACCATGCTGATACCGAAAGCAGCCATCCTCTTATCTCTTCCGTTCACTGTACGCGCACTGTCTTTCTCCTCCTTATTAGGCATTCGAGGGTCGAAACAGCAAACATGCGACCGTTCATGCTACGCCGACTATCGCTCGCTCATGGGCGACGCTGCTGAAGACCTCGTACTTCCAAGCTCGTTATCGCATCAAAACACAGCCGACGACCTGTGCAGCGATCTGGAATGCTCAGAGTGCGAGTTTTGCGACGTCAGCCTCACCGGTCGCTTTCCTATCCTGTCTCTGCAGAATGTAGAGCTCAACCGGATAGCGAATGCGGAAGCAAGAAAAAAGGCGGGCGACACGGAAGTGACAACGTGTACGGGCTGTCAGCTATACCTGAATGACTGCGAAAGACCTCACGAACGCAAAATGAAATCCAATCTCCCATGGCATGAACTCGCAACGCCGTACCCTCTCCACACAACAGACCACCAGCGGACTCTACAATGCGAGCTTCAGCTCTGCACAGCCGGTCCCTTACACTGCGGCGTCAACGGGGCATGCGAGCGCGAAATCTGCAAAGACCTCGCTGATCGGGCTGGCCTTCTTGAACCGGCTCATACGATGGAATGCAAAGACTGTCTGAAGTCCTGGGTTAGATGCATACACGATAGGTGTATTCCACCTACACTCGACGCTCTCGCGGACAGCCTACGCTGGCCGAATTGCTTCAAGAACCATGCGCAATGTCAGCAACAAACATGGCAAGAGATCAACGCTTCCCTTGCACCGGATGGAGATTGTGTGGAGTCTTGTCGGGCTAGCACCCCAACGTATTGCCAGACTGGCTCTTGTGCCTTACCTTTCCGTTCCTCGGGGACGCAGAACTCGAGCTCACTATCACTCAAGTATGCATCGGGTGGATCCGAGGCCTCTTCTCGGGTTTGCAATGCCTTTCGCGACACATGTCTGGAGACCTGTGACATGGGTAATGCTCACACCAAATGCGAAGCAAAGTGCGAAAGACTGCATGCTAGGAACGAAGGGTTCAAGGAAGTATGTAAGGAGACATGCGGGCGAAGGACTTGCTGGACCGAATGCAGAGATATGACATGCTGCGTGGGACCAGAGCAGTGTAGAGAGGGTGGAGAGGCATACAGGTGCAACAACAGACTGAGATGCGAGAAGTATAGAAAGATGGCAAAGAAGGGCAATGTGATGCTGCGCAGTTAGTAGGTGCTATTCCTCACGCTTTATGGCCCTTATCGCGTTCATGTCAATAAGGATAGTGAAATGCACTGGATCATAATCGATGTATTAAACAGGATCGTCGGCCTGCGACCTCGATGTTTTGGCAGAACTCCACCCAACGCCTTGCATGAAGCTCATGATATGGTAAATGTAATAGCAGTGGTAGCAAGCTAGCGGTCCTATCATGACCGCTATTCCCTTGGGCTGAGTGTTGATCTGCATGAACGCCGTCATGCACCGTGATGTCATGCTCGCCTCTTATTTCGGGCCTGAGCCATATCCAGCGCTGTTCTTCGGTTCTTCAGCAAGCAAGTCGGCGCTGTATACACGCTTGTAATCCTGCTCGCTCCAGCCCTGCTGCTGGGCAAGGCCACTGAGACTCAAGCCACGCGAACGAGTCTTCTTGACTGCTTCGCCTTGAGCGGCGCCAACGGGAGTAGAGCCATAGTTGAGCGGCACTACACCTTGGCCGGGAGGAGGGAACGGAGTGGACCCTGTAGGCGACGCGACTGTTTGGCCCGTAGTGACGTTGTCGGGTACTTCAGAGTCGGCGGAGAAGTCGGACGAGACGGACGCTTGCTGCGCTCGCTTCAGTGCGTTCTCGTAGTTCGCTGAGCTTGCTCGAGCCATGCCAGGGCGGCGGTAGCCAGTGTAAGCGCGGACAGCTTCAGTTGGGCCATTGTCTGTTGTTTCGTTTCCTCCACCGGCCCCCATCAGGGGCAAAAGATTTGGGTCGGGAGCAGCCGCATCGGTTTGCGAAGCGCTGTTGGAGGTGAAGGCGGCTTCGGCTTCGGAGCGTGTATTGGGTGTGAGGCCAGAGGGAGTGAAGGCGCCCGATGAGAGGAAGGAGCCCTCGGTGGGCGGCATGAGAGATGGTCGTGAACTCATGGTGAAGACGGTGTGTGCTGTCATCTCTTAGTAAGCTGCAAGACATCCTGGATACCTTGAAAGCGTAAACGTACGTGAAGTCTGTGAAGTACTATTAGGGCCTGGGCGGTGCCGTGTCGAATAGTGTGATTGGAGGGTACTGGTCCCTGTCTATCAGTTAGCTGGGTAGTCCCTAGAGGCCGTAGAAGGACCGCACCGAACGTTCAGGGTCTTTGGTATGCAGGTGCAGCAAAAAGAATCGTAATTGTTCGTTCACATCAGTCCTAAGCGACTGCCATGTATTTGAGCAATAGCGGCTGATGCTATGCCATCATATCTTGGCGGGTGACGTCTTTTCAGGGTCCAGACTTGCGGGGCCCTCTAGCCGCATATGGCAGCTTCTCGTGCAGCTCAATCAACAATAAGGGCGATGGCGACGAGCCGCAAGGGTTTGCGCTGATCGCTGACATGCTTGCTGTGGAGATGGCTCCATTCAATAGGTGGGAATGGCGCGGTCGACGTCTCTAAGCGGAGAGAAGACGTGCAACATGCATGTCACCGCGCGTTAGGGCTGGTGATACTCGGAACACGGGACACGGGTGAGTATTGGTGAATTCCTCGTCTAAACATCCAACAGCCATCTGACCACTCACTCCCATTAATTCGAATCGAAGCATCGAAACACTAACCAAACCAAACGTCGACCAAATACAGACACGGTGGCTACATCGCCGATCCACAAAATCTTGCCACAAGTAGCCCCTTGTTTTCTGCTCAAAACCGCCCAACAGATCTGGCGTAATGAAACCTCTGGACAATCTATGATACCGTTAGACGAGAATCTTACTGCAAGGTGAAGAGGAAGCAGACGTCTTACCTCACTACATTAGCCGCGAATCATCCGACAGTATCGAACTAGAGGCCAGAGTGGCAAACACCAATGGCGGCGGTAGTAGCACCACCAACCTTGGCAGTGCATTCAACATAGGCAGCATAGACTGCGGCGAGAGCAAAGCCAGCGGTGCCTTCAACAGCGGCCAAAGCAGCGCCAGTGCATCCAGCGATACCGGAAGCGCCTGCAAGCCCGGCAGCAACGACGCAAGAGCCACATGCCCAGTTCTGGAAGCAGCCGCTTCGGCCTGACTTGATACGCGCATCGTGAAGGGCAAGCGCCTGACGCTCCATGCGACGGACCGAGTCGTTGCGAGCGGCAAGCTTGTTGCTCTTGACTTCGGTTACAGCGTCGACACGGGCGGCTTCCGGGGCGACCAAGGCTGAGACCTCGAGCGAGAGTTCAGTGAAGACGTATTCTTTGACGTGGTTCGGCCAGGCCTGGACGGCTTCAATGGGTTGCTGCAGGAGGGGGCACCAGTCTTCCACGGTCATCGTGACATAGTCGACGGTGTTGAGGAGGTCGACCATGGCCTTGGTTGGAACATGGACCTTCTCGGCAATGACCTCGATGGGGATTGCTCCCAAAGAAACGTCGATGTCGATGTTGGCCGTCGCATTGACGCTGGCGGCTGCAGCCATGCTGGCAGTAGCAAGGAGAGATAGCTTGAGGAATGAGGCAGTCATGGTGAGGTAGGTAGCTGATGAAGGCTGTGGATTGAAAGTGAATGTTGGAAGGGTTATGGTGAAGATACTTTGGAAAGAGAGTGAAGTATCGAGCTGGTATTGAAAGCGAGCTTTGCCTCCGGTACTTATATTGACAGCTTCATCCAACATACATTGCCACGATGCCTGATTACCGAGACAAAGTATCCTCCGTCGGATACGGACACAACAATTGATGGCCTTCCGCTCACGTTCTTACTGGGATCTGGCTTACTTGCACAGAAGCAGAATGCAACGCGACGATGAGAGATAACCAAGCATACGATTGTTACTGAGGCCGTATTCGAATCAGCCCTAAGGCCTTGGACTGCTCGCGCTTTCGCTGAGTTCGGGTCTATTCACTGACAGAAGCAGCATGCCCAGCACTGATACGAAATTACAAAAAGTACAGCCACTGCCTAATGCAGTAACTATGTAAGTTCCAAGGGCTTGGATCGCTGACCGAATAGGTAGCTTAGCTCTCTTCACCGCTGAGTATCAGTCATCAGAATTGCCTCGCTATCCCCACTCTGTCCATAGCAAGGCACAAATCTAGACTTATGACCTGCATTAGGACCGTCTCCACCATGTCAGCTCTACGATTCAGGGTCATCCAGGGTCTTCCGACTACCTGGATCGGTCCGTCTTTCTGGATCCGCTCGACTGATCAGACCGGCCCGAGCACGGTCTTGGTAGTGCTCCGATGTATACTAATCCAACGGCTGCCAAGCATGTTACTTCGAACTTCACATCTTGCGTCCATCATGGTATGCCCAAGCGATGTTTTGTCATGCTAGACCTGCTCGAGGTGATTACTTGTCGGTGAGGTGTAGGGCCTTTGCAACACCATCTCAGCATACTTGGCTTCATTTGCTCGAATCAGTCACGCTCGTATCCAAGTCTCAGCGATGAGATATCGCCGATATTTGCTCATGGCTATGCTTTTGGGGGTCAAAGACAGTGCCAGAAGATGTTTTAGACATGAAAGGGGGATGGGTTGAAGATGCTGCGAAAGCTATAAGAACTGAACGAGTTCCGCAGAAAACAGATATCTCTCATCATCTACAATCATCACCTTCAAACACTCAATTATCACATCTTCCCACTTCAAGTCTTCAATCGACTCATCCCCACTCAACAACATGTTCTCCAAGACCATCATCCTCGCCCTCTTCGCCTCCTCGGCCACCTTCGCCGCCTCGATCCAGCAGAGGCAGCTCAACCCCAGCGTCCAGCTCTGCTCCAACAAGAACTTCAACGATTGCCTCAATGTGAACTTCCACTTTGGCATCTGCGGCAAGTCCTTCCCAACACCTCCAGTCTCTACAACTTGGTAGCTAACATCCAGCAGAGGGTGCCGGAAGGCTGAACGACAAGGTCAGCTCGCTCAAGGCAAACGGCCATAACTGCATCTTCTACAAGTAAGTGATTGCAGAGTTTGGGTCTAGGATTGCATAAGCTGACTAGCTCATAGCGATACCGGTTGCCGAAATGGAAACGGCGAGATTGCTACTACTGGTGAGGTCGCTGACATCCGCTCTCACGGCTCGTTCTCTACTATGAACGATGATGTTTCTTCTTTCTTGTGCAGCATCTAGGAGTAGCCTTTGGTCTATCTTTCCTGTCTTTCCGATGCTCAGCAATTGTTTGGTTTGGTGCTGGTTCGAGATGAGCTTGGTGTGCGAGCTCGGTACTTCACTGAACACGTCACGGGAACGTTGGAATGGGACAAGCTTCCAGCAGACACAGCCGAAGATGGGCGCAACGTTGCTTTCAATTTCTCTTCTTGGAGAGGCTCTTTTGATAGGTTGGCGGTTTGATTTGGTTTGGGGATAGATCGTGTAGTACGGAAGCCTTTTGGTTTCCTAATAAAACAGTTGTCTCCTGAACGCACCTGTATAGGTATTCCTTTCATGAGGCTGGATAAAGACGCTAATATACAGAATTCCGGCGGGTGCCGTCTCATATAAGGCAGCATTCAGGTCTGAAAACTACGTTGGGATAGAAGAAGCAAATTAGAAAGCCTGGCGCCGACGTAGGCTTCAGGGTGTTTGGTGTTGGTGTCCTCATAGATTTAGGTGGGGCAGCTTTTGGAGGGATCGATCTACATAGATCGGCCCGATCCTCGCGTCACCCCCGGCCTGCGATCTCAGCCTTCCTTCACGAACATAGCAAAAGCAATAGCATCTTGGTGATCAAGTTTCTCGGTAATGACTGTTGTATTTTTTATCGATAACACCAACGCCAACCATATTTGTCCCTAGGTAACGACTGACTGAAGGGAAGGTTACAATCTGGTAAGAAACAGAGATCCAACGTGCCACCCAACACACCAGACTCGATCAAGTCGCCCACTACCATATCCCCTCCCGTTTGGTTCGTGTACCAGAAGAACACCGGACGCTCGAAGCCTACAAGACAATCTTGTGGCCCTGGCGAAGGTGATCGCGAACTTTGTCCAGACGTGTAAACTTCATGTCGCATCCTTCGACGATGCAGATCAGCTTAGGAGCTTGATGCTTGCGCATGTGGCGGCGGCAATCGCCAACACGGCGGAAAGTCTTGCTGCATCCAGGTGCGGTGCAACGGATGCGGGTGTCGATAATACGGTGCTGGGCGCCGACATGCGCACCAGAAGATGCATTTGGTGGTGCAAGAGGGTTTGTAGCAGCCGGAGCGATGACAGGGTAGGTATAACCAGAGAGTACTCCCGGGTACGTAGATGGATTCAGGGCAGTGTTGTACTGGTGAGTTGCCCCCGTGTTCAGAAAGAAGCTGTTGTCTAGCGGGGGATCAACGGCACTGGACAGGGTCCAGTCAATGGCATGGTCGAATCCGCTGGTATCTCCAAGAGGGGCGTCCTGGGCGTTGTTGGTGACAAGGGTAGCCCAATCGATGATTGGGTTGCCAAGCTCCTGCGGGTCGTTCGTGGCCTGCACGAAATCACGGTTGTCCTGATAAAAGGCATAACTTGCCTGTCAGAAAAAAAATTACCTGTGATCTGTTGCGCCGCCTTTCATCCATGCATCTCCTCCACCTATGGGTGACGTAGCTTGAGGATTCCAGCCGTGGGTGATTTCGTTGGATAAGTCGAAAGATGCCATCTCGTCCTCGGACGTAAGAATGTCGCGCGGGTCTCTCAAGTTCATAGCCGAAGTTTTGTGGACGATAATCGTGACACCGTGTTGATAGAAGCGTACAGGAGAAGCAGTTTAGCTCGATGAGTGGTCGTCGGTCGTAGGTGAATCGATCAGCGAGATATGGAAAGAGAAGGGAGGAGGTTGGAAAGGCGAGGACAAAATTTGCATGAAGACAACTGAGGGCTAGGGAACATGCAACGGACGCGGAGTTGGTAAAAGAGGCGCCCAATGCTGTAGCGTTGTCAATGCCTGTCATAGAGGGCGCTTCTCAGCCTGATGATTGGCTGCTCTTGAGCCCTCAGCCTCAGCTTACAGACCCTCAATAAATCACAGACGGTGAAATAGCCATCCTTACAGATAATAACTCTGGAATGCTCACACATCCATCTCAACACTCAAAGCATGGAATCGAGCGAGGTTTTCCGTTGCGAACAATGCTCTAAGCGTTTTGAAACCTTGGGGCGCTACAAGTAGGCTCACGACTTCGTGCGCTTGCATAAATCACTAAAACATAGCCAGCCAACACTTAAAGACGCATACAAAGCCCTTCCGGTGCAATGATTGCACAAGAGGTTTCGCTCTGCGTTCCGACCTCACCAGACATGTACAGGCACGCCACCGACTTGGCATAGCCCGACATGCATGTGTCGTCACGGGCTGCTCCTTCAGAGCTTCTCGCAAAGATAATATCCGTTAACATATCCGGAACTGCCATCCAGAATTGTCTGTTGGCCCTCCTAAGAGAAGATCAGGTCGTGGTCAAGCAAAGCCGCATGACGTCCTGACGGCAAGCCCACTCGATGTGCCCTTGAATGCCCAAAGTGCCTCATCGACAGCAGGTACCCACACGCTGATGCAGGCAGCGTCGGAAGGCAATATTGGGCTCGTGCAAGCTATCTTGCAGTCAGGCGTTAACATCTCGACGCAAGCTGATGACGAGTCCACCGCTTTGCATTGCGCTGCCAAAGCCGACCAGACCGATATGATTTATCTTCTCCTCGAGTCGGGAGCGCGATCAAATATTGTAAACAGCAAGGGTGAAGTATCCGCCACGAATAGCTCTTAAGATATCTTGCTAACTTATTACTAGTATGTAGCTTTCTTACTATGCTTTGCCAATCCAGTTCTAAAACATCTTATTACTCGTGCTAACAGCTCAATAGAGAAGAACACCTCTACACGAAGCGATATTAGCTCGATGCACTTCCACATTCAATTTACTTGTGCAAAGAGTCGATATTACCGAACATGAATTATGCGCCACAGTCCGGACAAACCAATCCCACCTTTTCCAGACTGCTTGGGAAATCTGCGACAAACTCATGTTTAGGTTGGTTGGTCGTGAACTGTTCGAGATCGCAGCCAATTCCCCCGATACAGCATCTATGGCTACACTATTGTTGCTACCCGAGATCACTCAGCAATGGATCGAGGAGGAGGGTAAATCAGGGGTATTTCGAGTTATTTCTAAAAATCAAAAAGCCGTGCTGGAATGCCTGCTGAGGTCTGGAAAGTTGGATGTCAACACGGCTCTTGCTACGTCCCCTTGGGAAAAGCGCAGTCTTCTTTACCTCGCCGCTGCCGGGGGGAAAAGCGAGATTGTAGGCATTCTGCTCGAATTTGAGGCCATTGATCTTGACCTGATGGTTCGCCATGAGCTGTCATCGCCGCTGGGTATTGCTGCTTGGAAAGGACATGTCCAGGTTGTCGAAAAGCTTCTTCGATGCTCTGATATTGTTATCGACGGCAGGAAGGGGCATCGAAAAAAGGCAACTACATCTCTACATCTTGCATGTCGCCAAGGACATGTAGGCGTCATACGGCTGATGCTCGAAGCCTTCGACAAGCAAGGGCTCGATGTCGATGCCCAGGACGCATCTCACCTTCGGAGGACGCCACTGCAAAACGCTGTATACGGTGGACACATGGATGCGGCAGCGCTCTTGCTACTTCGACAGGATGTCGATATCAATCGAGTCTTTGGTCCCTCAAGGATTAGCTTGTGGCAGGCGGCAGCGCAACGAGGGCATGCCAAGACGTTGAGCGTACTACTGAGCGATGACCGGATCGATCGAAATAATGTGATGAACAGTCGTGATTCGCTGCTACTGGAAGCGTTTTTGGGGGCGCACTGGTGTCTACTAGAAATTGTGTTGGACTACGGAAGCGTCCCCTTGAATACTACCCGCCAAAGCTTGGATGTTGCGACAGAGCCGTCTGGAAAGCGCGTCGATATTCTGGAAAGAGGATTACTCGAAATAGCGTCTCTTCCAACCCGGGATCACAATCTCTGGCATCGAGCTGCCTATGCTGGCGACCTCAGTTTGGCAATGCTCCTACTTGAACATGCCCAAACGTACGACAGTTACACCCAGCCCATGGTGGATGTCAATCGTAGGGACCGGCACGATCGAGCACCATTACATGTCGCCGTGGACTCTGGAAAGGTCGGCATCATAGAGCTCCTACTCCACCACAAACAAATCGACCTCACTAAAGAGTCAAATTGTGCCTGGCACAACCAAAATGCCATAGAGATAGCCAACAAACGATACGACCGGGCCAGGGACAAGGAAAAGGAAGAGCGTGCTTACATAGTAAATCTTCTGCTAGCCCATGGTGCAAGGACTGCATCGCGCGATCGCGCAGACAATGCGAACGAGGTCGTTCTCCCACCCTTAGATATGGCTGTGGAGGGAAATGTTCAACATTCGTCGGAACCCAGCGAGGACTTTACAAGGAGGAACCATGCGTCATGGGCTTCAGTCGTTGGAATACATGATGGTGGTGGCGGACCTGGAGGAACGAACGTGGAAGACAAGCATGCAATCGGCGCGATCATCCCGATCGATGTGGATGATTCGATGGTAGGAGGCCCTGACGCAATATTCGAGGAGTGGATGTGCTTTGACGATGACGAACCGTCCGACAACAACAGCTTGGAGGTGTGGGAGCGAGAGATGTCTCTCGAATAGCCCGGTACCTTCGCCTCCTTATGGAAAGTACGCACTACCTGGCATGCGATTCGTCTTTATGTGGATTGATCTTCGCAGGAGCAGCCAGTGCTGGAGGCATCGCGAGGGTTCGTGGGGTTCGTAGGGTGCATAATCCCGAGGTCGTTTTTGCATATGGACTGCGTTTCTGTATCTGCTCGCCGCGCGCTGAATTGAACGATCTCATGGAAGGATTTGCACGCGTTCCCATTTCCAGAAGAGTGAGCGAAGAGACGTAGCATATCGCAGATGCCCAATGCCAAAATTTGCTGGCGAGCTGCCATAACGCTGCTGAGCATCTTGCGTGCGGCAGTGGACAACCTTCCAAAGTCGTGTTGCTCACGCGTCGGCGCCAAGCCAACGTCAAAGCCCCGAACACCAACTCCGGGTCTGCAGCTGCGGCTTCTCTCCAGAGTCTATGTACAATGCATAGCTCACTATTAGCTCTTTCATGAGAGACTCTGTTGATCCTTGCCTACCGAACACCCCAATACTGGGTTGCGCCCACATTGAGCATGTTGACCGTGACCTCTTTCCACGCGTATCGTGAACGCGTGTGAGCTCCTGCCAGGACGCGCGCAACCACCCACTGCATCAGTTGAGCTAGACTCCGACTCTACGTTCTCGCCCATCAAATCAGAGCATCACAGTAGATGCTACCAGAGAGACTGTGTTCACACATGTACTTGATAAGAATGAGACCTTGGGACTCTTGGGAACGTCTGCGTCGTCAAGTTCGCCGGGCGTAATACCGCAAATAACCCTCTAGGCATTGCATTGCATTGCTACTACCTACTGCTGAGCTGCATTTACAATAGAGGCTTGCTCGAAAATTGTACAATGTAGTCACGAATGGCGATGTGTGGAATTCTGCTGGCTTCCAAGGCTCGATTAACACATCATCCGTCGTCGCGTTGATCTGGTACGTCTCCCATTGAACTCATTATTGTCTACCACTAACGTTAATTAAGTTCGACACCATTAGCATATGTCCTCGCATTACGGCCGTCCTCAAGCATACCTACCTATACCACTTCTCGGCGTCTCGAAGTTGGCGATCGCGCCCTCCCTATCCCAGCGAACACCTGCATAAGCTTAATCATAATGGCTATACATACTGGGTAGAGTCGCCAATGTACGGCCATCGCGCTGAACAGCCTTCTCCATTGGCAGCGGAGCTATCCACAGCGGGGAAACATGTTGCGCCAGCGATGTCAGCTTTCTGCCTGTAGTCCGTCGGACTGTGGAAATGCCTTTGGTGAAGACTTCTCCCATATCAAGTTCGTCAGTATGCTGGCGTTGTTGATGCACACGCTCACTCAATTATTTCACCGAGCACGAAGAAGCTGTAGACCGTGCGAAGAGAAGAGTTGAACATGGATAGAACAGCTGTGGCATGAGAATCTCGTTACATGTGAACGGTGATGGGAAAGCGAGGGCTTCCGGGTAACTTCGCAGAGAGAGCTGAACTCATGCGGCAAGGCTGAAACCAGCCACGAAATGCCATTCTCTAGCTTGTCGTACCAGATAACCGACATGAGGCAACCAAAATCAAGATCTTATTTATATGAGATTCGCTATCGCTCATTTCCAATGGTCACTGTATTGAGCCGTGCGCGATACTAATTCGAGCCAGCAGGAAGAACGCCTAGGAATACCACCACAGCCACTGCGCCTTTGCACTACACAATCTTACTGCGTATTGGTCCAGCCTAGCAAATCTAATACCACCCCCACAGGCGATCTTCAGCCGCACCAACTTGAGCTCCCCAGTTGCAGCAATGCGGTTCCTTTAGGGGTAGGTACACATACCGGGGCATGGCACGCGACGCGCACACCAAACTTTTTCCACCCCAGCAATAACTTTTCATCAGTCATGATACTGTTCAAACAGCTCTTCGCTCTTTTGTTGGTTTTTTGCGTCGCTCATGGCGATGGGAACAATCCCATGAGTAGCCCTGCAGCCGGCGAAGTCATCGAAGCCGAAGAACCGTACCTGATTTCATGGTCCAATGG